CCTCCTGCACAGGCTGGGGCGCCTTCCCCACCAGCGAGGTGACATTCCATGTCGGGTCGTCGGGGCTCCTGCCTTCGACTGCTGCTCAATACACTGTGTGGCCCCGTGAGGGGAGGCCCGGCCACCAGGCGCTCGCATTCTAGCCCCAACCCCGGGCCTGGCTCCAGGGTGGGGCCCCGGCTGCGCCATGCTGGGCGATGTCACGGTCCTTGATTTTAATCTATTCATAAAGGGCTTTTGAACCGCTGTTAGTCTGACCCGTCACCCAGGACCTGTTTGCCTTGGGAGACTCTACCAGGGACATATAGCCCCCGACAACATAGCTCCTAGGATCACTCGGGTACTCAAACCCCTCCACCACAATAAGGTGGCGGTTCAAGGAGGGGATTTTCAGAAACAGTCAAATATAATAAAAAAACAACAACAAATATAATAAAAAAGAATAATTTTATGCATGTTATTACTAGCCTATTTCAAGCTCAGTTTACTGCCATATGAGTATCACTAAAACTGTTTTTTGTTTTCCTTACAGACCAGGAACAGAAGGCTCCAGTGAGAAGAAAATGAAAAAGAAGTAAGAAAGATGTTTACCTGTAAACACAATGTGTTCTGATGTGTTCCTAGAGGTGCTTACTTTGTTTAAGATACATAAAATATCCAATTAGTACTGTAGATCAAAATGTTTACATTTCAGTTACATTTTGTTCATTTTAGGTTGTAAAAACTCGATTTCTGTAAATCTGTGGCATTTTGACACTGTAATAATCCACTATATTTAATATGAATACAACCTTTATTTATACATTTATTTGCAGTTAATTGTTTATTGCACTGAGCTATAAAGGTAAAAACTAACTACCGGTAAACTAAACCGATAACTGCAGCTTGCTGTCCAATTCTTGTTTCAGATCCCTAACTGTAGTAGTGTATCAGAACATTATTGACAGAAATGTGACTGAACAGTTCCCTCTAGTGGAGACTGCAAGTAAATGCAGTTTGTAAAGTGCTGCTTCAACAGTTGTGTTGTCAATAAGAGAGAGCAATTTTCAAAGGTGTGATTTTATAGTATATAATCATAATGCGGTTATAATGGTTTTTAATCCACTACCATCAATGACTGCTTATGCAAATAACAATGCAACAGTACAGATATATTTGTACTTGTTTCAAAAGGTCATGTTTGCTGGTATAAATTGATTTTAAAACGTTTAAAGTTTGCTGGGTTATACATAGAAATTTTGTTTTGCTTTTTAAAAGTTCTTAATCCCATTTAAATATTTAACCTGGTGGCAATAAGCCTTTTTCACAGCAGGTGTTTTGATGCGTCACAGCAGGAAAAGCACAGGTGGAACTAATTACCTTAATGATCCAGCAGTTTAGTTACACATGTGTTAGCCAAGTCAAAATGTCTGCTGTGACAAAAGGTCCTGGTCAAGTGTGCAGCCAACCTCTAACTAACTGACTGGAAAAAAAAAGCATCAATCATATACCCAAACAGGTATTACAGTTAATAAAATGCCCAGTTATTCAGTGTGGGCTCTGTGTACCACTGTGTGGACAGATGGGCTCCACCATAAATTCTGACATTGTGTCATAAGAGTGTCAGACTGTGCTTGTCTGAGATGCCATCAGTCAAGACATATGAGAGACTGGTTGGGAAGGGACATGTGAGACATCACATAAATGACCGCTGAGCACCGGAGCTGTCACTCCCTCTTCATACAAGACACAGATGAAGCCACGATGCCTGAAACTACTGTGACTGCTTTTATCTTGATGCCAATACACTGGTCTGTACAACATCCAGATAAAAAAGTACATGTGTAGGTAATGTTCCCACTCTGCCCTGTTTTCTCAGTTATTCAAAAGTAAAACAACAACAAAACCTTGGAGACAGGCACATGTAACCATGTAAATCTCATGTCATTTAATTTCCAAAGTATTTAAACCCAGCATGTTGAAGAGTCGGTAAGGTAAAAAGCAGTTCATATTCACTGCACACAGCCCATGTAACATGTCACTGACTGTAGCAGGTAGATAGCAATACACACCGTTCTGTTTTCTGTATTCATGTTTATCCTTTGTGCACTTGCTCTCAGGGCTAAAGACCTCAGCGACCGCAGCAGTGATTCAGAGAGCTCCTCCAGTGACTCATCGTCAGACAGCAGCGACTCTTCTAGCTCCTCTTCAGATGACAGTGACAGCAGCAGTGACAGCGACGATGACAGGTCTTCCTCATCTTCCTCTTCCTCCTCCCCCTCTTCATCCTCGGACAGCTCAGACTCAGGAAGCAGCAGCGATTCAGATCACGGACCTCCAAGGAAGAAGAAAAAGAAGAAATAAATAAGTGTGTTTTCTTGTTGTTGTTGAGGCCCTTGAGTAATTTGCTGTCTATGTTTTTTCCTCAAACACATCACAGTTGGTTTGATCTGCATGGATATGATGTACTGCTTGTGCAAACTTTTTTTTTGTTGTAAATCTGGACTAGGATAAGAGGAGAACAGAATTATGAGATTGCCATTGTGTCATGTTTTCAAAACATATTTCCCCTGTAACTTCTACTAATGCAATATTTTCACAAGTTTGTAGGTCTACTGAAGATGTATACAGTTTGAATATCTGAGGAATCTAGTGGGCTTATTCATGTTGAATCTAATTATTTTGTACTAAAGTATATTTTTAGTCAAACTGAATCTGTACAGTTCACAACCTTACTCAAGCACCACCGTATCTGGTATTAAAATGACATTAATATACAATATGAGAAAGGCTGCCAAATAAAAGTTGTCTAAAATTGGTTTCAAGGTAGAATGTCTTGTTGCTGTAATGTGGGTTTCACTGTAAAATAAACAGTTTTTTTTGTTTTTAAAACGTGTATTTATAAAAGGTTTTATTTTACTAAAGTCAGTGAAACAGTTATTGACTTAGCATGTAGCAAACAGAATAAAATGGTGCTAAATTTGAGAATATTCAAACAGCATCTCAGTAAAATAAAGGTTATGTTGCTGTCTTCTAAAATAATACACATTTAGCATATTGTGTGTTTTGAAATACTCTTTTTCAATCAAAATGGAAAATGAATAATATTCAATTGGCCTAAAATACAGATTTTGTCTTAAATATTTAAATTTGTGTCAGAATATATGATAATATTTGAAAGTTCTGAGTTTAATGTTACCTCTTGGATTTCCAAACCCAAGTTGATAATATAGATAACACATTTAAAGGCCAACCAATCAAATAGACAAAGCCTGTGCAGATACGTTAATCTTTTTGTCTTATGGGGTCCTTCAGAGTGTGGGGTCCTGTATTTGCCCACTTTGCCCAGTTAGTAATCCAGCCATGGGTACATACCGTCATTCTCAGCAGGCTTGTAACTGTTTAAGAGCACTTAAAGAACTTATGAGTAAAGTAATAAATAAAACCAATTGCACATTAAATCCCATAAAAGGTGTGAGGTTAACAGCAGAAATCAAGCACCACAGCCTTAATGGATGGGAAAAATTGATGTGTGCAACAAAATGTACAGAATTTAAATTTATTTGTTAGTCAACAGACGTGACAACTGAATTCAATGGGAACACTTCTACAACAGGGAACAGGTATGAAACGCTCCTAATGATTTCCGCACTGATCGACGTGACTGGCCAACCTGTGCGTCACAGAAAAGAGGCATTCACAATATGTGGGAATTATCATTGTCATGAAAACATGACCGCGCTATTACTGTGAAACTGCCTAGAAAAATGTAAATGGATCTCCATATCGTTGAATTTAGAATCTGATAAGCTGGCAATATGTATGCTGTCAAAATGTTAATTTCTAAGGTTGTAAAAGCTAAGATCAGTGGCATTTTAAATTATCAGCAGTCCACGTTGTTCCAAATATAATCTACTGTCCATGGTGCGCTTAGAGAAATGTAATCTAAAAAAATGTACTTGGTTAGATGGATGATTGTATAGATGTTTCCAACAGCAACTGAACGCAGCACCACTTGCTGCCAGCCGTGCATTCAGTCATGTCTGTTGTACCTGCTGGCTAACGTCACTTAACTTAGCGAGCAGCATTACCTACCAGTCACTTCTGTTCAGAATAACAAAATTAACGAGAGAGAAAAATGATTTTATTTTGTCTTCCGCTCGATGTGCAGTTGCGTTTTAAGGGAAAAATAGAGACCATCTATTTGGTTTTAGTATTTTAGCTGTTATAGCGTTTTGCTTACTACATTTTGCGGGTAACTGGAAGTGGAAAAGACAAAGAGAAAGAGCTTTCCAATAGCTAGAATGGTTTGGGCCTAAAAAGAAGACAAGAGGTAAGGATGCTGAATATCACAACATTCGTTATTTGGTAATTAACTGTACTTAGTGGTTATCCGATAGTAGGAGCGAATGCTAATTTAAATTTCCGTAGAAAAAATCAGCGGTTTCAGTGTTGGCTAGCTGCTAGCCTAGCCTCAGGACGCTTCTAGCAGATTTGGTTAGCTAAAATGATACTATGTCAAAGATGCAGGTATTCCGTTAGGTAGCGTGTTAGCCTCTTGTAGCCTGGGTGCTTTTTGTGTGTGTGTGTGTATATATACAGAGAGAGAGAGAGAGAGCGAGAGTTTTCAGTTCTGATAAGGGAAAACATTGGTTGCTGAAATGGTAATAACGCTAAATGGTACTTTTGTTCGTGCGGTGGCTTTGCTCAACTAAGCCAAACGTCGTAAAGATAGTGACCATTGGGTTGTTCCTGTAATTTTAGCTGAGAGGTCATGACGTCTGATTGTTTGTTTTCACGGTTTAGCCATGGTTAAGCAAACTTAACTTTGCTAACTAGTACTAGTTTATGTTAGCGACAAGCAGATAAATATTTGGCATTTTTTGCAAATGATAAACATGCTGCTCACAGTTTTATCACACCAATCTACTATTAAACTTGGACACTGATTTGATTTGACACTAACGTTATATAAAACCAAAGCTGTGCACTTAGAATACGAACAGAAACTGTTTTCCTCGGCTGCAGTTCTGTAACATAATCATTAGCGTTACTTAACTGCCCCAACAGTTTGCTCACAGCAAAACTTTTGGTTTGTTGCCTTTCAGTTTCTGCACATCCTATCTTGCATTATTAAATGAGTTTACGCTCAGTGTAACTCATAGCTGCCTTATTTTGTAATCCTGATTATTTACCCTAAAGTTACTATTGCGTAGGAAGGCCAAATAACATAAGGCAATATAGTAGCTTATATGACTAGCAAGAGGACAGCTGATGTGCTCTTCCAGGAAGCCATTTTACACAGTTGAGGGGAAGGGCTAGAAAATGCACAAGTCCAGTGCAAAACTGTGCAGTGTAACTCTCAGCAGTCATCACTGATACATGTTTACATCTAGCAGGATACACTTGGCACATGGAGACCAGGTCAGAATAATCATCTTGTTTATCTTGTTTGACACATGACAGCAGGGCAGGCCTAAGGTCATGAACTGATTTATGGTAGGTAACTGGGAACTAGCAGACAGATGAAAACAGGTGGTAACCAGAGGCTGTTTGTGTTGTGGATGCATTTTATGAAGTACACTCTGTGCTGTCCAAGAGTGTTTTATTTTCAGATGGACATGCAGGAGTGATGTTTAGACCTAATTAATACAGAGAAATCATGTCCCTACTCTGTAGCATTTACCAGTCTTAATAAGCAATAACCACAATGGCTGTAAGACATGCATAATTTTCCCACTTGCATTTAGTTGAACAGTTTTACTAAACCACAGTATGCCTCACAAGTGGACGTGACGCAACATTTTGTGACAGAACAAAAAGCATCTAATTCCTCAATGGTGGTTAACATTTAAGTCTACACCCATGTAAAAGCAGCTTAAAGCACAATGCTTTTGCAGAATGTTTCTGTTTAAGTGTCTACCATGATAGCAGAATGCCAGAAACATTAAATGGAATACAGGTTGGGAAACAGATGTTTATATAGTAGGAGTTGTTTTGCTCATTAATCAGGCTATACTTATGGGCTGAATGATTTGATCATATGAATCAATATAATGATAGTAACAACAGTAAATATTGACATAAGTTGAACATCGAATTGAGATAGAAACGTGTTGATTTTCAGCCTATTTAGCATTTTGAATGAGCCTGTGGACCCTGTTGGTGAGACAGACCACTATGACTGTTCAGCCTAGTGAGTCAATGCCAAGAAGAGAAGTGCTTGGGAAGGTCTGTCACTATAGTATCCATGATTTCACCCATTTAGTGGTTTCCCCTCATTTTTCACCTCCATAACCAAATGACCAACAGCTGACAATGCCAGTGCCATTTGCAACTTCTTATCAGACATATATTTGATTAAAAGCAGCTATAAACCATCTGTGGTGAGCCAGAGCTGGTTTGTTTACAATTTTGTGTATCCCAGTCCCAGGTCTTCCTTTTTTTTCCTTTTTGAATGATGAATACAGATTCTGTCATCTGCTGGTAGGAAGTGTTATTTCGCTCACGCAGGCACAGAAGGTACATGCTAGTGGGATGTTGGGTTTAGTCTTTACAGTGTGTTCAGAGGTCACATTTTGGCTCTGACAAAGGTGATGTGGGGTGATGGAACAGTCAGCTTTCATCATTGCTAGTCCTGTGATGTTGGCTTGGTGTCTCTGCCCAAACATGTCGGTCTAAAACAGGGGTGCCCACACTTTTTTGCCTTGCGAGCTACTTTTGAAACGACCAAGTCAAAATGATCTACCTATTATAAAAATGCAAAACATATATTTATTTATATTTTTAGTTATTTATATTGCACAATATAACTCTGTACATTTTTTGTCATTGCCTCACTCTGATGACTTGCACTGAATGGAATCAGCCAGGGATGCATAGTCCAGACAGTAGCTGCTGATAGCCAGCCTCAAGCACACTTCCAAATGATCATCAGTCAAGGTGGAACGGTATTTGGACTTAATAATCTTCATGTGGGAAAAGGCTGACTCGCATAAATAAGTGGAGCTGAATAATGCAGTCAAGGAGGTAGCACATTTCCTCATATTGGGGTACTTTTCCTCTGTGAGTAAGTTCCAGAACTGTCCATGAGCCCTGGACTTAAGCTGAATGTCAGCTTGTAGTGTCAAAGTCTCATCCTCCACTCCAGATGAGTTCAGATGAAACAGTGTTGCAATATCTGATGCGAGTGAATCAACCTCAGCATCTTCCCGAAAAGGGTAGCACATGAATGTAGCACCTGGCTCCAGTAAAACAAAGTCTTGAAAGCGTCTGTCAAACTCTGACAGACAGTTCTTAATCTGCTCTGTGTAGCGTGCACTGTCAAGTTGCACACACGCCTTGCCTTGCGTCTCCAGCTCTGACGCGAGGTTCTGGAACTTTGCCAAATCATGGCGCTGCATCTTTGAGGACAGATGTTGCATTTTCCGTTTGAAAGCATTAACTGAGCTGATCATATTGATTACGGTTTTGTCTTTTCCTTGTAACTCTACATTAAGGTCATTCAACATGTTGGTCATATCAGTTAAAAATGCTAAGTCTGGGAGCCACTGATTGTCATTTAGTTGGTTGTATTCTGCATGTTTAGCTCCACGGAAAAACTCCTTAGTCTCCGGACAGAGCTCTTGAAATCTTTTCAGCAATTTCCCTCAACTAAGCCATCTCACGTCAGTGTGTAGCAACAACTCCAAGTGGTCGCAGTCAGGCTTCTCCAGATGCGCATGAAATAGCTGTCTTTGAAGAGATCTGGCGCGAATAGAACAGGCGATCTTCATTGCCACATCCATTATCTCTTTCATGTTGAGCATTTTTGCGCATAACGCTTGTTGGTGTATTATGCAGTGATAACTGAGGGAGCCCAGGAAAGCATCATCCTCCCTGCACTTGGCAATAAATCCATTTGAGCGGCCAACCATTGCGGGCGCTCCGTCCGTGGTGATGGACACCAATTTGAACACTGGGAGCTGGGTTTTCTCGATAAAGTTTTTGAAAGACTGAAAAAATGTCCTCTCCTCGCGTGTGTTCTTTCATGGGCAGTACTGTTAACAGCTCCTCTTTTGCAGTCATATCGGGAAACATCATCCGAATAAAAATGCATAAAATAAAAATGTGCTGTGTCACTCATGTCTGTAGACTCGTCCAATTGCAGTGAGAAACACTCGCAGTCCGCGATATCCTTCCAAAGTTGCTGGGTCAAATCTTCAGCCATGGCTTCACTGCGCCGTAACTGTACTTCTTGATAGCTGGAGAGCTTTGATTGAAGATAATATTTCTGGTTTATTTTTAAAGCCTCGGAACAACGACTCAGCTGCTTCAACGAATGCCTCTTTTACCATCTCTCCATCTTGGAAGGACTTCTTGTGCTTAATGATGAAGTGACTCACCTGGAATGATGCTTCGGGGGCTGCCTTCGCTTTTGGGGTCAGCTGTGAGAAAAATGACTGCTGTCCCGACAATTGGGATTTTAGTTCCTTCACCTTTCTCTTTCTCAGCTCACTTTTTGGAGGGAAGTCAGTGTCGTAGTTTTTGTGAACTGTCCGAAAATGCTGCTCCACATTTCCCTTCGAAAAAGCAAAGGTAGACTGGCAGATGAGGCAAACGCACTTTGAATATGACATTCCGTATGGAAGTGGTAGGTTTTTAGCTTCTTACCTGGTCCAGCTCCCCCACTCATTTTTATACCCTTTCTTAAGTTTAGAAGAAATAAATTGGAGGCTAACTGGGCAGCTCGGTAGCTTGCTAGAATTTTGCCGCACTTGTACACGCATGCGTGGTGACCCATGTGTCAGAAAAGATCAGATGTCAGACTGGCTGCCCTGCATGTCAATCAAGTAGCAAATGCCATAGGGAGGATGGATGATAGGCTATATATGAATGATTGGCACTTTCTGCTTTTCCTGTTAGGGATTGCCACAGCGAATTGTCACACTGACCATGTTAAAATTAGGAACATGTTTTACGCTGGATACATCTAATTTATTTTTGAATGGCATGCGATCTACCGACACTACCTTCGCGATCGACGTATTGGGCACCCCTGGTCTAAAATCTCCCATAGGTGTTGAACTGGGTTGCAATCTGGTGACTATGAAGGCCATAGCATAAGATGATATTTCGTTTTTTCCAGTAATTTGTCACCCATCTAAGTTTTATTTATTATTATTTGCTTTACTTCTCATTTTACTTGTCTCACTGTCTCTGCTCTTGCTATTTATGTTGCTGATTTTTATTATTCACTGCAAGGCACTTAGCCTGCTCTGAAAAATTTTGTGCATTGAATTTCATTGCTGTATATTAGATGTACTACCGCAATAAACTACATATGACTAATGT